TTATCATCGAATGCCGAGACCAACCTCCACGGCCACATGCGAAATTCGTGGACACAGCGAAACCACAGGCCCGCCAACAACTTGAGAGACTCGGTGCCAGCAACCGAGAGTTTCCTCTCGTCCCACCCAGAGAAACCCATGACTGGATACCAGCACGGATACTCGACATTCTGCATGTTGTTAATGATATTGGTAATTGTAAAAAGCGCAGGGTTGTCAGACCGCGTGCAGAAGTTAGAGGCTCCCAAGGGGGTTTTGTTAGCGAAACCAGCTGATTTGAAAAACGCTCCCATCAATTTTACGACTGGCATAAGAAGCACACAACCGACGGCTTGCTGCAACGAAGTATCATCTTTCGAAAGCCACGTCGACGCTTTCTTGAAACGCCTTTCCCGCTTCTTCATGTATGTGAGGTCATCCCCAAATCCAATTGTTTCGGCTTCTGACAACATGGCAACCGAATGATGCAACGTGTGCTCGCAGATGGGTTTGAAAGTATCTTCAAAAGCAATTGGAATGTAACCAACCATTGTTCTGACGCACCAATAAGACAGAGGCGCGAAGAGCTTCAACCAACGGTTGAGAGCTGGCACGGGCACGGCGAGGTCCAAGTGGGCTACGAGCACATCGTTGTAAATGTCATCGCGTGCGGCTTCTGGTGAACTGTGACAACCAAGCGGACAACAGTGGCGCCATTCGATAATTCGGTGCTTCTTAGAATCCCAGACACTGGCAGCGAGAGAGCGCGCAAGACGCTTGCGAGCCTCCTCTTGCTTGGCTCGCTGGGGAGCCTCCTCGTCGCCGACCTCGGCGTGATCATCCAACCGATTCAGCAGTTCGAAGATCTTCGCGAGTACCTGGAAAAACTGACTGCAAAGAGAGAGAACGAGCATACTAGCATACTAGAAGGCCCCAAATGTCCTCCAACATTGCCTCTATGCTGGGACCCGTGCCGGCGCCAGCCCCAGAGGTCCCCAAGTTATCCCATGATGGCCCCACGGTTGCCCAGGCTTGTATTCTTATACTTATATATTAGATAAGTTATATAGTATATAGTATATACAAGACATATTATAGATAATAGATTTAATGCCACACATCACCATAAGTCCGACATCGCCCAAGACGGCCCCAAAGGGCCCCGAAGATGGTCCACCATGGTTCCAATATGGTCGGAAGATGGCCCCGAGATGGCTTCTCTTAGTTTAATGGGTGTCGGCGGATGTGGCGTAAGCCTAGAGAACATCAAAGAGCACCTCTTGGTGGTGGGCTGGAGGCTCATCGTACACGATATCTATGTTCTGGAACACACGCCGAGTAGCTTTTTTCACCGTGGTGACGTGCCCGCCTTTCTGCATGAGGACGCTGGCGCAAAACATTGGGCACAATGCACTCAGATCTTTTAGCAGTCTGGCGACGACGAGGGCGACCTGGTGCATGATGCAGCGCATGTACAGGGTAACTTTACCTGACAACCTCAAGCTGATTTGGTCCATGGCGAGCTGGTTGTGTTCCAAGCTGACCGACCGGGCTAAATTGATGCATGATTTTGCGCTGTCAGAAACAAGGGCAAGAATGAACAATTCCGCGATGCGGGCAATCTCATCTAACTTCAATGGTAAATTTCGGACGATGGCAGATCGCATGCAAAGTGCAGTAGTCCTCCAAGAAAGCAGGCGGTATGATAACTTCTGTGGGATCTTCGTCGTCCCACTGCATGCGAGCGTGAATCATCATCATGTTATAAATGCCTCTGACGTTGTTGATTACCGCCCATTGCTCACTTTCGTCCCAAGCCAACTGTAAGAAAACTGAATCAACATCAACGAGGGGCCTCAAGCGCTCGGTCTGAACACTGATGCACTTCATGGCCACGGCGTCCCGAAGCAGGCCAACGAAGGAGTGCGAGCAATGGAAGAAGTCTGCAAAACCCTTCTGGCTCGTAGCCACTGCGTTCCGACTCTTCTCAGCCTTGGACTTGGCAACGATACGGCGGAACACTTTCCTAAAGCCGCGGCCCCAGCAAATACGCTGAACTGCGGCAGGGGTCCAACGATTGAACTGGCCCTTGCCCTTCACGACCGTCTTCCCTTCCTTCCTACGGCTTTTTCTCCTTCCCAAGTCAATCACATTTTTCTTCCGAATTGCGAAATTCTTGTTGTGATACTCCACTTGCTGCTTCACGAGCGGATCCACGGGCCCAGCTCTCGATGCTCTGATCTCTCCCTGGCAGGTAGACCATAAGCAAGCACGGAGAGAGGACCTGGCCCAACCTACCGTCGATCCGACCACGACCCTTGCTCGACGAATCGGGGCCGCATCGATCAAACCCGATCCCACTTATACCATTCCCCATCGCCAAGAAACCACCCCTGAACCCTCAATCGAATAGGCCCTGCAAGCTTTGCGGCTGCGCATGTACTTGGTCAAAAGGTCGCCCCGCCTCTGGAACCGCTCCCGGCCTCCACAAGACCGATGATACCGTGCAGCTGCCGAGCTGGCTGGTGGGCACCAGCCCCAGCACCATCGACGAGATCTTTAAGCGCATCCATACGTCAACGTGTGTGGCAGCATCTGAATTCATAATACTTGAGACACGCATCAGCGGGAGGAGAGGGAGGGGGCTCTGGATATTCTTGACTTCTCTTCGTGCTCCTTGTCCTCCTCCTCCCCCTCCTCGTTGTTTTGCTTTACCCTCATCCTTTCCCTCCTTCTATGGACGGAAGCGTGGGGGACAGTGTGCCGATTTGCCATTGCTCTGCACTGGCTGCTGTTGTTGCTGATGTTCCTCCTCCTCCTCCTCCTCATTCCTCCTCCTCTTCCTCCTCCTCCTCCTCCGCCCCCAGGGCAGAGGTCGGCGGGCCGGTGCAGCACCCGCGCGGCGCCCTGGGGGAACTTGAGCCTGCATATATCTACATATCTACCCCCAGTTGGGGGGGTAGTGGGTGCTGTTCGCTGAACGGCCCGGGTTCGCCGCCCAGGCGCCATTCTCAGCATTCGGGTCACCCCGCACCCAGGGAGGTCGGGGGAGGCTCATGGCGCGTGCCACCTGGTCCTCCTTGGGCAAGGGGACTTGTGGGGGTGGTCCTGGGCACCACTAAGTCTCGCGCCAGGGGGCCCACCTGGCGGCCGAGGGTGTTCCAGAGTCCCGACCTGCAGAGCAGGCGGAGGCTTTGGCGGAGGTGGCGGCATCGCTCGGCGTAAGGGCGCCGACCTGAGGCGGCCAGAGGACCGTCTTGTGGCTGAGCTGTGAGGCGACGTAAGACTTCGCATCTGTATTTTTCTGCTGGGGGCGGCAAGGCCCGCCGCAGGTTCCCCCAGAGAAAAGCGGCACGTGCTGAGGCCGCTGGCCCACCTCGCCTCGGGCGCGCCGCCGCGCGTTTGGCGAGGTGCCGAGACCAGGGGCATTCACTCGTGCGCGCGAGCGCGCGGGTTCAAACTCCTCCTCCTCCTCCTCCCTCCTCCTACTCCTCCTCCTACTCCTCATCGCCCTCATCCTCCTCCTCCTCCCCCCCCCTCCTCCCCCTCCTCCTCCTCCTCCTCCTCCTCCTCCTCCTCCGTAACAAACCCAGGGCATCCCCGCAATGACAGCAGCAGCTCGTCCGATCGACAAGGAGGACGAGGACGACGACGACGACGACGACGAGCTCCGCGACGGCAGCTATGCCGCCGACGACCACGACGCGACATCAGGGGGTCCATAAAACTTGGGGCAGGGGCTGAAGTCATACGAGACGTTCCAAAAGGCGTCCAGGAAGACTCAGAATGAATCATCAGGAAAACGTCTGAAGCGGCACTGGGGCATTTTTCCAACAGCCGCCCACGCAAAACGGGAAACTGCAGCGCGCTTGTATATATCCCACGAGCGGCCTATGCGGAACGGGAGCCATCCAACCTATGTGCTTTCAGTCGTCGATCACAATGACATCTGCGACACGGGCGCATTTGGCCACTTCCAAGCCGGTATAGCCCATTTGCCAATCAAGTGGAGGAGAGCCCTGCTTCAACTTAGGAAGCCATACCCCGACCATCTGTTTCTTCCGCCTCCGGTATTGCCCACGCATTCGTTTAGTTCGAGCTCCGCGGGCTGCCTGACTGATCGCGATCGGATTGTCGCGAACAGGGCTGTAGTCCCAAATTGAGGGCTGGTCGAATAGGCACTTGAACGCTTCATGAGGGGGCGGCGGCGAACCAGTGGAGGGAATGAGTAAGCTTCCGACGAACTGAGGCCGAGGTGACTCGTCGTAGGACACTGTCTCAGGTGGCGGTGTCATCACCTCTACCATGGCTGAACTCATGGACTCTAGGCGGCTCCAAGTATCTATACACACCTCGGGGCTCGAGCCTGACGCCGACGACACGTCTGCATGCTGACCTCGACTTGATAACGCCCTGAAGGCAACGGATCCCCTCAAAAACAACAACAACACATACCCCTCTCAGGACCAATATTGGTGCCCTGTGAGGGCCCCCATCGCGGGTTTTGATTATTTGGGCCCCGTCTTGGGGCCCTCTTGGGGCCTTCTCGGAGTCTCCCCAGGGCCCGAGACATCGCGATACGTAGCACCCCGCAATTGCGGATAAGAGTGAGGGGGCGGGCGCGGGCGACGCGGGCGTCGTCGAGCCGGCGGACCTCGTGGCCCCCATTTTCCTTGTCGATGGCGCTCTCCTCCACCTCCTCCTCCTCCTCCTTCTCCTCCTCTTCCTCCTCCTTCTCCTCCTCCTCTTCCTCGTCCTCATCGTCATCGTCATCCTCCTCCTCCACCTCGTCCTCCTCCTCTTCTTCCTCGTCCTCCCTCTCCCCCCCTCGTCTTTTCATCATGGTCCTCCCATTGTCGTCCTCCCCCTCATCGGCCTCCATATCGTCCTCCCATTGTCGTCCATCATCATCATCATCATCCTGGGTTTGCTCTGCATGGGATTCGAGAGTAGAAGTGAGTTATTCGCTCCGCAGCTTTTCTCTCATACAGAAGGGGGGCATCCTGGGGCCTGGGCTGTGCATGGCCCTGGCGCTGTGTCCGCGACACGCCGCAGCCGGCGTGGTGGGCGCAGTGCTGCTCAGGCACGCCGACCTGGTGTATCAGACCTTCCTGCAGCAGGCCGGGCTCTGGCAGGGTGCGGGCCACGCAGGTGCCGAGGCGGCCGCCCAGGCCGCCTACTCAGCCGCGGACGCGGCCAGCCTGGCCGCCGCGGCGGCGGCAGCGGCGGGCGAGGCCCTGACCAACTGGAGCGGGCCGCTGGAGGGCGTGAGCTGCCCACAGGCGCCAGCCTGCACCTGCTCGTGCCCGCAGGTGCCGGAGTGTCCACCCGAGGCGGACGGTGACGTGAAGGAGGGCTTGTGGCACCTGGCGGGAGGCGCGGTGGGCCACATCGTCCTGGTGCTGGGAGGCCGCCTTTGCGCCTGTCGTCGACGAGATGGCGTCCGAGCCCAGGCGCCGCCGAGCTCCCCTGCGGGAGTCGCGCCCGACGGCCTCGGCTCCCCCGGGCGTGCCGCGCTGGCAGGGCCTGGCCGCCCTGCTCCTGGAGACAGGGCACGCCGCCGTGGAGGAGGAGTTCTGCAATGAACTCCTCGTGGGGAGCTATGTGGCCGTGTTCTACACGGAAGATGATGTGTGGCATGAGCGTCAAATTTTGTTCCAGGTCGACGCCCAGCACTGGGTGGTGTACACCCCCGACGGCGACATGTACATAGAGAATGTGATGGCGGGGGATCCCGACTCGGGTCCGTGCCGCGCGGCCGTCCTGCCTGCTGACGGCACCCTCCCGTTCTTCCTCAGGGGCAAGACCTACCGGTTCCGTGACTTCCCGGACGAGCAGCGGCTCCTCGACCTGATCAATGAGGGGTACCAGCTCGCCGTGTCCGAGGGCGGCGAGGTCGTGGGCCCGACGGCGTACACCGACGCCATGGGGCAGAGGCAGCCGTTGGAGTTGCACGAGGGCATCTACCGGCGTGTGCGCGGGCGCCCGCTACCAGCTCTGCCACCGCTTCTTGAGCCCCCAGAGGGCGGAGACCTCCTCGTAGGGGGCACCCGCACTCCCGAGGTCCTCGACGCGGATGTGGAGCTGGTGAACGATGGAGGCCGCTGGGTGTCCCTCGTCACGATCGGTTCCGTGCGCCGTGGCGACCCTGTGGAGCTCGGGACGGGAGACAAGGTGCTGGGCGAGCTGGCGCTCCACCGCATGCCAGATGGTGAGGTGATCGCCGCGTGTCGTCCCGACTACCTGAGCAAAGTCGTGGATGGAGGTTCGGCTGCCGACGGCGGCGACGCTCGAGTGCTCGCCCCCGTCTCCTATGACCCAGGCGGGCGACGCTGGTGTGACTTTGCGAACGCTGTCAGCAAGATGAGCACAGAGCCGATGGAGGACTTCCCGCTGGAGGGCGAGAGGTCGGCGCTGTGGCTCTTCAAGTACGTTCGTGATCACGGCGGCACGTTCGACGCCCGCCAGACCAAGTGGGCCACGGAGCAGAAGATCGCCATCGACTCCACCGCCTACCTTATCCACGATCTCGTGGGTCTGGCGCTGGATCTCTCTGTGTGCTATGACCAGTGCGATGGCGGCAACCTGGCCAGTGTCGAGGTGTTGGCGCGGCTGTACCAGCTGGTGGAGGAGACCAACGGGACCCTCCAGCTGGAGGGCCTGGAGCACTACGTGGGCCGCGACCCCACAGGCGGCCTACGCCGCGGGGTCGCGCTCAACCCTGGGCTCGCGCACTATGCGACCGACAAGAAGAGCAAGGAGACGGAGGTGATGAAGCAGCGCCGCAAGGCTCGCGAGGAGTCGGCGGCGGCCAAGAAGGCCTCCAAGGGTGGCGGCAAGAAGGATCAGGAGCACCCCTGAGAGAGGGGCGCACCACGGCGGACCCCGGTCGTGGTGCGAATGCCAAGGGGTCAATTCACCGTCGTGATGCTGCTGCTGGTGCAGGAGATGGCCTTCTTCCTTTGGCCTGTCCTCGGCAGGAGTGTTACACTGGTGGCTGCACCGCGCTGTCGCGGGGCACGGAGCAACGTGTTCGGCGGCGGCTCAAGGTCCAAGAGAGGACCGCCGAGACGATTCGAGCCATCAATCGCCTGGCAGGTTTTGACGCGCCCGAGGTGGAGTCCGTCGGGGAGCTGACCGGCCCCTCCGCCCTGGTCTACAGCGACGCGCGGGCGCTTCACGCGGCTCATGCCCCCGAGCAGGTGAATTCGATCAGTCCGCAGGAAGCCTTTCATGAGCTTCTCGGGAGCACGCCCTCGTCGTACATGGATGGCGACGAGGTCTCTCCAGTTCGGCCCTACTCGCGCGAGTTGGTGAGCTGGCCCAAGAGGGGCAATCGCCCGGCCCCGCTGCCGACGAACGCGCCACCGGACCTGCTCCGGTACATGACAGAGGGCCAGCGAGATGTGTGGTTGCGGCAGCCGCAGGAGGTGGCGCAGGTCCGGCAGGTTGATGGCCTGCCGACGCTGTACGGCGACGCAGTTTTGAAGGAGAATCGCGACGCCTACATCGGCTTCGTGAAGGATGGCCTTGCTCGGGGGATATTCCGCCTGAGCCGCCGTCGGAAGGAAGCCGTCAAGGTCTTTTTCGTGAAGAAGAAGGACTCTAGCATTCGGATCGTTATCGATTGCCGACGGAGTAACCAACACTTTCGAGCCGCGCCGAAGGTCCACCTCTTCTCGGGCAGCAGCTTCGGGGAGGTCGAGGTCTCGGCGCACCAGCAGTTGTGGTGCGCAGGGGGTGACGTTCAGAACGCCTTCTACCAGCACCAGTTGCCGTGCTGGCTGCAGCCTTACTTCGGCCTCGACTGCGTCCGGGCCTCGGAGCTGGGCGTTGCTGAGCTGGGCGGCCAGGCCGTGCGGGGCGACCAGATCTTGTACCCCCTGATGAACGTGGTTCCGATGGGGTGGAAGTGGGCCCTCTTCATGGTGCAGCGGATCCACGAGCATGTTCTCGATGGAGTTCCCGAGCTGGGGCCGCGGCGCCGAGCGGTCGACTTTCGGCCTCCGCCTCGAGTCGAGGACGGGGCGGTGCACACAGTGTATGTGGATAGCGTGCTGATCGAGGGGTTTGACCAAGCGGAGGCGACACGACTCCGTGAGGCTGCATGCGCCGCGCTGCAGCAGGCGGGCTACGCCACTCACGACGAGTCCGACGCTGCGGCGAGCATGGAGATGCTGGGCGTCGAGCAGACCGGCTGTCCAGGACGTGTGCAGGTGTCCGCGAAGCGCTACTGGCGGTTGTGGCAGGCGCTGGAGTGGATCCGGCGCAGGCAGCCTCCTCTGAGCAGCCGCCAGCTTGAGCGTCTGATTGGCCACTTCACTTTTGTGGCTCTCATTCGGCGAGAGCTGCTTAGCACGTTGCGCGCCAGCTACGATTTTTCCAGGGGTGATTTTACCAAGCCCCGGAGCCTGTGGAAAAGTGTCCTCCAAGAGCTCAGAACCATCCAGGGCCTTTTAATTTTTGCGTCCAGGGACTTGGATCCTCACTGGTCCTCGGACGTGTTGGCCTACGATGCGTGTGAGTCTGGGCATGCCACGGTGAGGGGGGCCTGGACGGTGGGGGGTGTACAGCAAGTAGGGAAGTGGCACGAGCGTTGGAGGTATAAGAATGAAGACGATCCCGCTCGTACAAATCCCCGTGGTCACGCTCTGGGACAATCTTATGACAAACAAACAGATATGGAAGATATGTCAAACAAGGAGATCGATTACAGTGATGTGTACCTAAACCGTGAATTCCCCGACGTTCCCCCCCAGCTTGTGCAGTCAACTCGGTGGACGCTGGGAAGATATCAACCGGTTTTTACTCGTGAGCCAATTCATGTTACTGAAATGCGGGGCTTCTTGGGATCTATTCGTCAAGCGGTTCGGGATCCTGGAGATTGGGGCAAGTCGCGGCTGATGTTGGGAGACAACTTGGGGCTCATCCTCTCGCTCTCGAAAGGTCGGTGTCGAGACCCTCGTTTACTCATGCTTCATCGTAAGGCAGCAGCGTGGGCTCTAGCTACCAAATCGAGATTTGTATGTAGATGGCTACCCTCTGAGTTGAACCCAGCCGATGGACCATCCCGCAAGAGAGAGCCATCGGCGCCAGCTACGCGACTGGCGAGTGGGCCACCCCAGCCATCGGCGGACCGCACCGGCGACTTCCCACGTGGTGCAGGCGCTCTCTCGTGCGCCATTGAGGTCGGGCTATCCACTGACGGACAAGCGGCAGAAGACCGAGCCAGACGTGGAGAGCCTCCGTCGTGCCAACCAGCCTCCTCCTGGGCATCCAATCCTGGGCTTGCTGGAGGCCAAGAGCGCGAGCCTCGACAAGGAGCAGCAGCTGCGGGAGCGTCGTGCCGCACGTCGGCAGGACGTTCACGGGCCGCTCCGGGACACGACGAGGGGACCAGGCATCACCGAGGAGGCCTCGCTGACGCAGAAGACACGAGATCAGTATCAACGACTACTTCACGATTTTCAGGAGCGGCAGCAGATGCAGGACCTGAGTGTGCATCCCGCCATCCTGGACGCGCAGATCGTGATCTACTTCGACAGACTTTTTCTGGAGGGAAAGGCCCCATCAACGGGGGAGAAGCTCGTCGCGGCCATCCAGTACGTAGTGCCGAGCTACAACGCCAAGGGCATGATGACCTTGCCGCGGGCGACCAGGGCCCTGCGCGGCTGGCGCCGTCTGGTGCCGCGCCGCACTCGGCGGCCCTTGCCCTGGGAGGTAGTGACCGCCATCGCGATGGGGCTCCTCCGGGTCAACGGCCTGGGGATGGCGCTCTGTTGGCTTCTCATGGTGGACACATACATGCGACCGGGCGAGTGCCTCGACCTCCAGACAAGCCAGATCCTACAAGGGAACACCAGCACATGGAGCGAGCTGCGATCCTCCTGCATCCCGCCGAGAAGGGAATGCCCAGCAAAGTCGGGGCCGTCGACGAGAGTCTGATCATCAACCGGACCTGGCTCTCAGATGCCCTGACCAAGTACGCAGCGAGCCGGCCCCAGCGGGGGCCCCTGTGGGACTTCACGCTCAAGGAGTTGAACGCCAGCTTCCTCGCCGCCTGCATCCCCGCGGGCATCAGCAGCCTGAAGCCGGTCCTCTACACGGGCCGGCACTCGGGCGCCAGCCTGGACAGGCTGACCAACAGGCTGGACCTCGCCGAGGTGCAGCGTCGGGGCCGATGGCGGACGGGAGCGTCGGTGCGACGCTACGAGAAGCGGGCGCTCGTGCAGGAGGTCTACAATGGGCTCGACCAGAGGTCCAAGGCCTACTGCAACAGGAGCGCCAGCGAGCTGGAGGCAGCGATCGTTCGGGCCTGCGGCCACGTCAAGGGCATCAGAGGCGTGGGTTCTTCATGATCGAGGTGTTCAGTGGCTGCGGGGCTTTCTCCAAAGCCGCTAGGCGCCGCGGGGTGGAGGCCTTCCCCTTCGACGTCCTGCAGGGAGCCGCAGGGGGCGTCACCCGCCGTCCAGTGCAGCGACGCATCCGACGGCTTCTGGCTCATCCTCGTTGTTTGGGCATCCTCCTGGCGCCGCCGTGCACCACGTACAGCAACGCTCGGAGGCCGATGATCAGAAGTCGTGAATTCATCGAGGGCCTCCCGACGAACACTCCGTCGGAGCAGGCCCAGGTCGCAGCAGGTACTTTTTTCATGAGGCTGACGGCCCAGCTCTGCAGGCCCGCTGTGAAGTGTGGAGTTCCTTGGGTGATTGAGAATCCTCAGACAAGTCTGATCTGGCACGCTGTCGAGTTTCGCAGCCTTCGTAATCTTGCCAAACAGCAGTCGCTCACGACTCACCTCTGTGGTTTCGGAGCGCGGTGGAAAAAACCTACGACGTTGTGGTCCTGGGGTGTGGAGAACATGTACAAGATGGTGCACAAGTGCCCCAGTTTTGGTTGTCAACCCTGTATATTCTCGGCGAAACCTCATATCGTGCTATCGGGACCAGACCCCACAGGGGTCCGCTGGACAATGCGAGCAGCTGCATACCCTCCTCGGTTTGCATCCGTCTTGGCCGGCCTCTTTCTCGACTCCGGTTTCACCAAGCTGTTGCAGGAATTAAAGCAATCTTATTTTCCAGTGGTGCCATGGGTGAGCGAAAGACTCAGACAGGCCTCGTGATCGTGAACCGCATACGGAGTTTGCGAATTTCGGGCTGTGTACTCTGGGCTTCGCCTTGCACGTCCCTGGAATATCATGGCCGACCAGCTCGCCTTCGAGATTTTCAACAGATGTGGGTTCAAGAAACGGAATGGCACGATCGATGGGTTTGCTCTGCATGGGATTCGAGAGTAGAAGTGAGTTATTCGCTCCGCAGCTTTTCTCTCACCGTCCACAGGCCCCACCACCACCCTCTTTAAAGTGGCTCCCCCAAGTTTTTGGTGTCTCCAAGGGCCCTCCGAGGTCAACCCCGAGGGCCCTCTAGAATAACGATCTGCGCTTCTCACCCTGGCACCACGCAAGTGGGCTATGTACTCTGGGCTTCGCCTTGCACGCCCCTGGAATATCATGGCCGACCAGCTCGCCTTCGAGATTTTCAACAGATGTGGGTTCAAGAAAAACGGAATGGCACGATCGATCCCCATCCTCCCCCTCCTCGTCCTCCTCCTCCCCCTCCTCCCCCTCCTCCCCCTCGTCCTCCTGATCCTCCTCCTTTTCTTTCTCCACGTTCTCCTTACATCCTCTCTTCTTCCACGTTCTCCTCGTCCCCTGTTTACTCATCCTGCGTCCCCCTCCTTTCCCATGATAGCTGCAACGCAATCCTATTGTTCCACTTTATGCCCCCCGCCTTCTCTGATCAAGGCAACTCGCCAGGGCAAAGTTGCTGGACGGGCTGGCGTGGATGCGCGGGGCGTGAAGAGGTCCTTGCGGGCTCAGACGGCATGCAAGAATCCGCTACGCGCTTGTGCGTCATTGGTTTGTTCAGTGAACGTGGTTTAGGTCGCGGGTGGGTCGCGGGTTCTCCACCCCCACCTGGAAGGAATGCAAAAGCAGCCCGCCGCAAGCGCCCACAACAAATGGTTTGTACACGGAACGAGGTTTGGGTCGCGGGTGGGCCGCGGGTTCTCCACAGGGAACGACTGCAAAAGATGCCCGCCGCAGGCGCCGAACATGTGGTTTGCACCCTGAACGTGGTCGCGGGTGGGCCGCGGGCTCTCCACCTGAAACGAATGCAAACTATGCCCGCCGCAGGCACCGAAAAATGTGGTTTGTACCCTGAACGTGGTTTGGGTCGCGGGTTGGTCGCGAGTTGGTCACGGGATGTGTCGCGGGCTCTCCACCTGGAAGGAATGCAAAAAAGCCCGCCGCAGGCGCCGAAAATTGTGGTTTGTACCTTGAACGTGGTTTGGGTCGAAGGTGGGTCGCGGGTGGGTCGCGGGGTAGGTCGCGGGTGGGTCGCGGGTGGGTCGCGGGTGGGTCGCGGGTGGGTCGCGGGTGGGTCGCGGGGTGGGCCGCGGGGGGGTCGCGGGGTGGGTCGCGGGTTGGGTCGCGGGGTGGGTCGCGGGGTGGGTCGCGGGGTGGGTCGCGGGGTGGGTCGCGGTGGGTCGCGGGTGGGTCGCGGGCGGGTCGCGGGGTGGGTCGCGGGGCGGGTCGCGGGCGGGTCGCGGGGCGGGCTGCGGGTGGGACGACGACAAAAACAACAACAACAACAACAACAACAATCATTTTACCCGAACGCTCAGTGTTCTCACCAGTGCCAGGGTTTTCATGCGACGCGAGACAATACCCCCACTTCGTGGGGGGGCAGTTCAAGCTCTACCAAATATCCAAACGACTCTTCGCGACCACCCAAACCCAGCTTCCCGCCCTATGACGTTGGGACACTTCACTTCGTGGCGTGCGGACGACCGTGGCTACTACACTGGCGTGGGGTACACACCCACAGAACTTGGTCACTTATTCGGGGCGCGCGTGTGCCCAGCATCCTGCAATTGTGACATACAATACATGACACAGACAGACAGAGAGAGAGACAGAGAGCAGACAGAGAGAGAGACAGAGAGAGCGGAGTTGGTCACATTTTTGGGGCAAGTTCCTGAGATCGTCGTGTTTTTTGTTGGTCTTGCGCGCGCGAATGTCCACTTTACTTTTTTTTTTTGCAAGGGATATTTGATTATGTTAGAACAAGAAAAAGTAGCTCGCGCGAGCTCATGTAACATAAATGTTGAAAAACCATTGGTTTTGTTGGAGTCGGACAGCGCGCGCGGGATGAAATTTGGACATTTTTTATTGAAAAACCATTGGGTTTTTGATGTTTTTATATTGAAATCGTTACGAAACCTAAGGTTCTGGAAGGATTTCGTCTTGCGCGCGCGAATGTCCACTTTACCTTATTTTTTGCAAGGGATTATTGAAATTTGATTATGTTAGAACAAGAAAAAGTAGCTCGCGCGAGCTCATGTAACATAAATGTT